GCCATTTTTAAGTTGTCCTTCATCTTAATGTAATTGTCTGCATTAAAAAATCTTCCAAAAATAAAATATACTTTTCTGAAACTTTATTTTAGGAATATTAACTGATTTAAAGTATACTTAATATGATTTGAAACAAATATTAAATTAAAAATAACAGAGAAATGGATTTTAAAAACAAATAGTAGCCCGATTAAGTGCTTGTCAACACCTCATAAATCACTTGAGTAATTTACAAGTTGTTGACACTTTTACTTTTTGTTCTACGGAGACATTATCTGCAAAAACGTAATTTAAGAAAATGATGGGTAAACGCATTTTTATATAATTTTTATGCACTCAGTAATCTTTAAAATGTTAGAAATATTCTCCATGATTTGGTCTTAGGAATGTTGACTTTAAATTTACTATCGCGATCAATCTTATTTTCTGATAATGTCGTGTATGATCATCCTTACTATCAAAATCGACACGTTTATGCACATAAATGTTGTTTTTTTTAATATTTTACAAATCTTTGGCGTAATGATTTGTTAAACTTATATATGTATTTTTAAAACAAAACAGCAATTTTGTTTTTAACCAACATCGCCATGATTTACGTAATTGACGAGGCGATGACAAGCCATGGCATAATGATTGTTGTTCTACGGAGACTTTATCTGTTGAAACATAATTGAAGAAAATAACGCGAGCGCTTTTTTTATATATTTTTTAAGTAGTCAATAATCTTAAAAATGTTGGAAAATATTCTTTGGAATCTCATTTTAGGCTATTATTTTCTGATAATGTCGTGTATGATCGACCGTAATTTCAAAGATGGGTACGTTGCATAATATTTTATATACATAAAAAAATTTAAAATTATTTTTAAAATCTTGGTGCAAAATAATTTTTATTAAGTTTTACAATTTTTGATTAATAAATATAGTTTTCACTTAATAATAATATCACCTAACCGGATAAAAGTAATGCAGAATTTTAAAAAAAATTATATATTATAAATTATTATAATTAAAATTTAAAAAGAATGAAAACAATTCTTTTAAAAATTGATTATTCATCAATAATCCTAATAATAACATAAATATTTTGACGATAAAACTTTGTTTTTTATGAAGTTTCGGGTCTTTTTTCATCATGCTATGCTATTTTTTCAGTGAACAGATGGAGGTACCTAAATAAATAGTTGACTTTGTAACATTAATTTTAATGCACAGCCATATACCTGACAATTTTATTTACTATTAACAGCATGGCCCGGCGTTTCCCGTGTTTGATTCAAAAATCGTACGACTCATACAGCAATGGCTATCACTTGACTTAAAATATTTTTGCCCTTCTTTACCTTTAAAGGAGTGCCCTTTGCCGTGCTGATGTTGCTACATGCCTTACTTCTTGCCTATCTCACACTGCGAATTTTTTCTAAGCCCTATACTAAACATTAAATCTGTTACAAAAAAAGAACTAAACAAAATGAACACAAAACGATCAGCTTTAAAAAAGGACTCGTAACTGGAAAAACCGAATGAAAAAAGAATGTTAACAACAAATACATTTTTCACATCCAACCCAGTTCTGTGGAATCAGAATCAACGTTGAGTTTAAGCAAGCGAATGAGCCAATTGGAGTAAAGTGCCATGCAGATTTAAATTTTTCCCACTTGTGACGAATGCAGCTATCGATTTTTTTTGGCATGCTAGCATGCTAGTTGACATTCGTGTCAGTCAGCTGTTGGCTCTCACGCTGGCCAATAGAATCCTCCTGCCTATTCGTGGCAGCCAACTATAGGCTCTCACTCTGGCCAGTAGAAAATAGCCGCAAACTACATGAAAACTGCCGTAGAAGCATGAAAAAATCGATTATTTCCACTATCGATGGGAGGTGGGAAATGCAAAGTCGGTCTTGGTTTTTCCGCTAACTTGGAGCATGTGCATGCAAATTTTGGTGCAAATCCATCGAAAATTGCGCCCGTGCATTCGTTACACACACACACACACACACGTACATCCTGCCTTTTATAGATAGAGATTTTTTTTTCCTGTTATGAACACATTTTTCCCGCTGGGTGACGTAGTGAAGTTAAACGTAGCCAAAATTATTGATGATACAGCAAGAATCTCATGGAACACTATGCTATCAATAGTTTTGACCACATTTAGAAGTTCTATTAGGTTGGTGCAAAAATAATGATTTAATAATGTCGTTTTTGACGTTAAAAAATACGTCAAAAAACGACATTATTACGTCATTATTTTTGCACCAACCTAATACTTCATGAACAGGTTAAGATTGTAGTGATCAGGGAAACATCCTCTTGGGAGCCGCTTTCACAGAGCAGTGATTTCTCGGCAAGAAGCTATTCGAATGGAACTTCTCACCAATGAAATAAGGAGGGGTCCAGGGTGGTTTGTTACAATGTGAGTCCTAGCTGTGAAGGTTATACCTGAGGGAACAAAGTAATGTAGTTCGTCTGAGCACTTTTCATAGAAGTTAGAATTCTTTTTACAAATTGAGAATCCTTTATCAGAAATTCATGGGACCGGAAGTGCTTCGGTTTTCAGATTATTTTCGGATTTTGGAATACAAGTTATTATAATTTGTGTATAGCATTTATAAAATGGAACAGCTTGAGAATAGAACCCAAGCATAAACATTATATCTCTTTATATTTCCAAATACAGGTTATACATATATCCTGAACGTAGTTTTGTATAAATAACATATACACTGAAAGTAGTTTTATATAGAATTTGATCAACTTTATATACAGGCAATGACGCTAGTCATGTAATGCTCACATATATTTTTAAGTTGTGATTTTATGTAAAAATAATGTTTTGTACTTTCTGTACATGTACAAAAGACATGATCACTATTTACAAAAATATATATAAATGTAACACCAAACATTACATCAGTCAGTGGGGGAGAGGATACATTATGAATGACATCATTGTAAATGTGAGAAGGATAATTCGATAAGCTATCAGTCTCTACCAACGATATCGTGATTTGATTAAAAACCTTACAATACATACAGGTACAGGATTCATATAAAAACAAAACATGAATTCTGATTAATTTAATGTAATCAAAACTGAAAAAAAATCAGCATTTTATTTGTAACGCTGTAACACAATAACCATGCTATGGGCAGCCATCTTGCTTTCTGAAATTTTCCATTTATAGCAAGTCATGTCAGCACCTAAAAAAAAAACTTTTGGATTTTTGAGGTTTTCGGATTTTGGAATTTCGAATAATGGGATACTCAACCTGCAATAAAAGAATCGTAAAAATGAATATTTCATCAAATTCTGCGCCTGGGAATAACTTTTGACAGCAGAATTTTTTTTAGAATTGAATCTAAAATAACAAGCCGTCCCGACTTCTACGCATCTTTCTGCAGATGTTTAAAAATGGGTTTCTCAGAGGTAGTCAATATTTAATTTTGGGGTGTCCCAAACATCAGGAATCCATTTCAAATGCAAATAAGGGCGGGAATCGAGTAAAATAAGATAGAATTAACCGGAAAATAAGTATATAAACCTACCCACTATATATATATATATATATATATATATATATATATATATATATATATATATATATATATATATATATATATATCACAAATTCACAGATATGTGATACATAAACACTACGTGGATATATTGATGGTATGCGTGTGTTTGGCAATTAAAAATTTTTATGTGATTATTCTAAGATCAAGCAATAAAATGAAACCTTTGGGGGATATATGGATATAGTGTGAATGAAGACACCAATACTGCATAATGACTTGCTGTTTCACACCTTAAGCGATCGTCAGAGCATTTTTTATATCTACAAACGCTCTGAGTCCGATAGGAATCCAAGGAAGTACACGGAAAAAAAATTCTCTAATCAACCCTGCTTCCTGTTTTTTTGTTTTTGTTTTTTTTACTAACGATCTTCCCAGGAACATTCTCAGATCAGCTTAACTAAACATCTATGCAGATGGGGAGGCAATCATCACAGTGAACGTCAGGGTACCCCGACGTGGTGAGTTCGATTCTCACTGGATGCCCCATACTTTCAGCCTTGTGCCGCATCTAAGCTATTAGGAAATCGTTATAACAGTAAATGCCATTTTCCCGAGAACGAGTTTCCCCGAAATTGTTCCGTCCTGGGTAACACGATAAACTACATCCGCGTCCTGGGTAAGACGATAAACTACATCCAGCAGCAAGGCCTCTGATCAGGAGCTTTTGAGGAGCGTGGAACCACCTCTTGATTGCTGGTGTTCCCAGGCCCACCCTGACCCGGGGTGGTAGCACCTGTTAGGGTCCCAGGTATGGGTAAATAGTTAACCCTTAAACTGGGACGAAAACACTATGAAAATGGAAAAATAAGTTTTAATTGCAGCAATACATTATTGTAAAAAATTATTACCAGCGACATATTTTTGAAAAAAATATTAACAGCAATAAAAATCTTGTCGGCATTAAATAACCCATTGAGGTGTTGATATGCCGTAAAACAGAACAAACCAAACCGAAATTGTTAAAATCGTATCTACTTTTCTATAGAAAATTAAAGGGACATAACTTTTATATCTGAATAATGCCTTATTTAAATTATGAAATATTTTAAAATTTTGCTATTAATTTATTTATTTGTTTGATTTTTTACAATTTATAAACCTTCTTCAGATTATGTAAAGTCAGAAAATATTTTTAATTTGTAAGAATGTATTTTTTTAGATAATAATGATTTGCTGATACAAGTACTACTAATTAATCCATAGATCGGAGAGAAAAGGTGGATTCACACCTTTCTTAAGAGTATTTGTGCGTAAGTGAATATAACGAACCCGACTGGAATTAGAACTCGGCTCTCCGATATTGTATTTTGAATCGTTAATTACACCACCCGCACATGAATTTCGCTGATCGTAAGAGAAACGGTGTTTCGAAGTGATGTGGCCATAAAACCTGTACAACCCTCACACACATCCAAGTTTACAGCATCTGGTATTCCCAAGCGGTCACCCATCTAGACACTGACCACGCTCGAGATTGCTTAACTTCGGTGATCGTACGGGAACCGGTATTTCAATGTGATAGCGTCGAAAGCAATACTACCAGCACATGCAAGCTTACAGCACCTCGTGTTCCCAAGCAGGAATAAATAGCAGTGTCAGGCTACTGACTGAAGTGATTACTGGGCGATTATTGAGTGAAACTATCCAGTCGAATTAGTGTGAATTATTGTGCGTCGATGTTTTGGGTTTTGATTTAGGATTTACCGGATGTTAATGTAATGGTTAATTATCTTTGGTTGACTTTTACTTCTTAGTTTTTATTAAGGTATTTATTTGCGGTTGTAATTAAATACTGTTTTATTTTAACATTGAACTCTTGAGTCATACTTAATTATTAACGGCCACCGCACGTCACAAAAGATAGATAGATAGACAGATATTAGGCAGAGATTTTAGATAGAGATATTAACAGACCGAGATAGATAGATAGATAGATAGATAGATAGATAGATAGATAGATAGATAGTGTCATATAGGAAAAAATGTTTAACGACAGACACGGAGGTTCGAGCGTAACACTCTGGATTTATGAATATATGTTTTCCGCTAGGTGTATAAATAGTGGTGTCAGGCTACTGACTGCAGTGATTATTGAGTGATTACTGAGTGGAACTATCCAGTCGAATTAGTGTGAATCATTTTGCGTCGATGATTTGGGTATTGATTTATGATTTACCGGATGTTAAGCCGAGCCGCGCTACTAACAAAGTATTCACTGAAATGGTTAATAATCTTTGGTTGACTTTTATTTCTTTGTTCTTGTTAAGTATTTATTTGCGGTTGTAATTAAATAATTTTATACTAACATTGACTTCTTGAGTTATACTAAATTATTAACGACCACCGTACGTCTCAAAACATTTGTACCCTCTTACTTTTTATATAATGAATATCTTAATAATTCCTGTTCATCAAGAATGTTTTTCACTTCAGGGAGTGAATTCCTGCCAGTCGAGGTTGCCAATGAGAGCATGAGTAGAATGAATGAATTCATTAACATGTCCCAGGTAAGTCTGTGATCAAAACATTCTAAACACCTGTTGCCGTTATTGGTTAAAACGGATGGCATTCATAACAGAAAATGTCATTTGCTTGAAAACTGGCTTCACTGAAATCATTAAAGTTAATTCTGCACTTCATCAAATGGCTCATTTCGTCAAAAGTTAAAAAATGAGTGAGAGGTAATTCTTATATAAACAAGAGTGCTTTTGGTTTTTTTTAGTTTTTTAATTATAAGTGATTCAAGAAGTTAAAACCTTTGTTTGATATTAACATTATATAAAATGCAAGTATTATCCACCATTATAGTTTTTATATTGGTGGGAATCGAAATGTTTTTGTTGTTATAGTTACATTAAATTCAAAATTTAAAAAATTAAGATTTTTTTTTTCTAATTATCATTCTTATACCAATTTATCTTATCCATAGAATTATTCTGGGAAATTTTATTATATTGTCATCATAGAAAACAAAAAAACAAACTCTTAGTATAAAGGAAGTTACCATTATCCAGAAAGAGGCTTACGACGCAAGAGCGTCTCTCTTTTTTAAATTAGTGGGAATATATCTATTCTTGGGAAAGATAGGGAAGTGATACCTCCTTACATTTTCCATGATATTTTAATTTATAATTGCCTTTCTACTAGATTGGTTACTACCCAAGGTTATATAACCCAGTTTGCCCTGTTACTTTACTCATATCTGGAGGTATGGGGAAGAGATCGATTCATGCCTTTCCCTTGTCATTCATCAATTTGAACTCTTAAATTGTCCGTATATTTTATTCCTATCTGGAAAATAAATTTGGCTCCATGCTACCTCCGAGAACATTACTGGTTTGAATTCAAATTTGGTTTTCACCTAGACTGGGTTCCAACCAAGGCTCGGTTGACCAGCCTGCACTACTATTTTACTCATATTTAAATATGAGGGAATGAAATGGATTCATGCTTTTCTGATGGGCATTACGGTTTTATTTCAGTTTTATTTCCAAATTTTTACCCTTTCATTTGTATCCCCTTACTTCTTTATATAATGGATATCTTGATAATACCTATTCGTCAAGAATGTTTTCTAACTTCAGGGAGGGAATTCCTGCCCACTCAAGGTAGCCGAAAATATTAAATTCGATTCTTCACTTCATCGAATAACTAAAGATCGAAACTTAGGAAATGAAAGGGAGATAACTCTTATATCTGAACAGTGCTTTTTTTAAAAATTGCGTATCATTTAAAATTTTTGTTTATTTAGAACACTGAGTACCTTTTTCTCCATCAATCCGTCCTGGGTATAACGATAAACTACATCCAGCAGCAAGGCCTCTGATCAGGATATTAGAGGTTTTCAGGAGCGTGGAACCACCTCTTAATTGCTGTTGCTTCCCAGTCCACCCTGACCCAATTTGGTCCCAGTTATGGGCAAATAGTGAAACTCCAAACAAAAATCAACAGTACATTTTTATAGTAAAATGACTAACAATACCTTCTTATAGCAAAATGCTGCGAAACAAAATCAACCAATTAACAATACACATTTGTAGCAAAACGATCAAGAACACATTTTATCTCTATTTGAAGACATATATTTGCGTTCAAAGTAAATTTCGTTGAAGCCATAAAACTGTGTTTAAAATATTTAGATTTCGGCATTGAATAACCCATAGAGATGTCGATATGCCGCTCAACAAAAATAAACAACCAACAACATATTTAAAGCAATATGACTCGCAATATAATTTATGTGTGGTTGAAGGCATACAAATGCGTTGAAAATATATTTAGTTGAAGCCATAAAATTGTGTTCAAAATATTTAGATTTCGGCATTAAATAACCCATAGAGATGTTGATATGCCACAAAACAAAATCAACCAACCAACAATACATATTTAAAGCAAAATGGCCAACAATAGATTTTATCTATAGTTGAAGGCATATAGTTGCGTTCAAAATATATTTAGTTGAAGCTATAAAATTGGGTTAAAAATATTTCGATTTTGGCATTAAATGACCCATAGAGATGTTGATATGCCGCGAAAGAAAATCAACCAACTAACCAACCAACCAATTCATCACTGAAGTCTTTAATGTATGTAACAATGTTGCTATATATTTTGGTTTGACTCTAGGAATATTTAAAAACGAGTAAAAATAAAGAAAAAATACCTAAATATTTACTGCTGTCGCTAATTCCATGTTTGGACAAGACGAATCAATAAATTAATGAAATAATGATTCGCTACACAGGCATGTCTTTTAGATCTATTTACATTTTTTGCAATATAAATTTATAGACAATACTGTCCTAAAAGTGAGGGATCAGTTTACGTGTTGATTGTAATGTAGAATTGATCCCTCTCTTTATATCCACATTGTAATTTCTTGTCGGCATGTCTTTTGAATTATTTACATTCTCTGTAATATAAATGTATAGAAAATACCATTGCCTAAAAGTGAGTGATCAGTTTATGTATTGATTGTAATGCAGAATTGACCCCCCTCTTTATATCCACATTGTAATTTCTTGGCATGTCTTTTAGATTCATTTTAATTCTCGGCAATATAAATTTATAGAAATTACCATGGCCACAAAGTGAGGGATCTGTTTATATATTGATTGTAATGTAGAATTGATCTCCCACTTTATATCCATATAATTTCTTGTTTATCAAATTCTGATTAGTTATGAACTCATCTCTTCTACCCCCTGCTATAAGTTAATTAGTAAGCGTTGTACTATCTAAAAATATTTTCTGGCTTTAAATAATCTGTAAAGAGTTAATAAGCCATAAAAATAAATATTTAAATCAATCACTCAAGGATGGATTTTTTTTTCCTCCAAGAACGGCAGCTTTGTGAAACAGATCCCGTATAGTTGCTTTCCCGAACGATACAACACTAACCCCGTCATCTCAAACTTCAGCCGTTACATATCAATATCCTCATCATCTAATTCCTGCTCTTCATCAATGACCTTCCCGATGTCATCAGTTACCAAGTAGGCTTCTATACGGACGCCACTACTATTTTCTCCATATCAAATCTGGTATCGTTGACAAAACTAACCTGGCTGCTGATCTTGAAAACAACCTCCAGTCTGTGACTGACTGGGGCAAGAAATGGCCCGTAAACTTTGAAGTCTCCAAAACGAAACTGCTCTCCTTTACGCACCACAGAGATCCCTTCCTGCCTCCCATCGGAATGGCTGATTCCCAACTCCTTGAGAGCGCCTTGTTACGCCTCCCTGGTCTCACGCTGTCCACTGACATGTGGTGGAATAAATACATTGAATCAATAGCTTCATCTACTGCAAGAAAAGTTGGTTCACTGTGTCGTGCCAGAAAGGTTTTTCTCATCTGAGCCCAACCTTCATATCTATAAATCAACCATCCGTCCTTGCATGGAATATTGCTGTCATATATGGTCTAGTGCCCCCACTGTACGTCTGGAGGTCCTTGACAAAATCCAGAGACGAATATGTAAGATGATAAGTCCTGATCTCGCATCTAGTCTACAATCGCTATCCCACAGACGTGCCGTAGCCTCCCTCTGTCTATTCAACAAATATTTTCACGGCAACTGTTCCGACGAGCTACTTTTGCTGGTTCCCGGACTACATGAATTTAAACGTGCTACCAGGCTGGCATCTCGGTCCCATCGAATCACCGTCAAAACAGTGAAATGGAACCGTCTTTTCTTCTCAAACAGCTTCTTTTCCCGCACTTTCCGCCTGTGAAACTCCTTTCCCCTTACTTGCTTCCCCGATGACTATATTAAAGTGTAATGTCAAGCGACATTCGATACCTTGATCATGTTTCTAGTCCTTCTCGGTATACTTTCCTCAAACATTACTCTTGTCCTCAATCCCCTGTAACCCCTTGCGTGTTAGTGGCACTCCCGCCTTGCTAGGGGTGAATTACCTTAAACAAAATAAAAAGACCTTATTTAGTAAGCTTCTAGCACGAGTGGCTCTTGAGCATTAATTCCAGCAATGCATGAAATCTTTGAAAAGCCGCGTTACTTGCAAG